GCGTCCGAGAGTGGTCCCTGCTCCGCGGGTTCGCTGTTCCGTTGCTGCCTGCGGCCGCGATCTCCTCTGCAGCCTCCGGTGCCTTGCTCTCCGAGCTCCCAGGCCGTTCTCCTAGACGCAGCATTGGTTTCTGGTTTCCGAAGGAATGTTCGGGCTTGGCAGGTAGTAGGCTTTTCGCGTTTCAGTTTCACAAGCCTTATTGGCAGACCCAACTGCCCAAGACATTCTTCTTCTTCTTTTGCAGCTCCATAGCCTTCCGCTAAGTCTCCTGTAGCTCCCATCAAAATACAAATTCTACATCATCGCACCGAAGCGACTTTCGCCGTGCTTCCCACCCTCTAAACTAATTGCATAGCTAACCTAGTGCGGGGACCCATCCAACAGAAGTAAAATACCAGGACCCTTCGCGCCAATAAAGCACTGGGTGCAGAGTCTGACACATGGTAGATTCTAATGAACTATTGTCCAGTCCACTTTCCTTCAGTAAATTTGTCAATATATCTCCCCTCTAGGTTTTACTTAGTTTCCTCACCTACAAAGCGAAGAGGTGTCATTTTTGTAAAAAAATAAAAATAAAAATGTGTGTATGTATATGCAGAAGAGGAAAAAAAATGTATAGAAAGGGTACTGGCAAGGTGTCCTCAAAACGATAATGGGCCCTAACCGGTTTGGCTCAGTGGATAGAGCGTCGGCCTGCGGACTGAGGGGTCCCGGGTTCGATTCCAGTCAAGGGCATGTACCTTGGTTGAGGGCACATCCCCAGTAGGGGGTGTGCAGGAGGCAGCTGATCGATGTTTCTCTCTCTCATCGATGTTTCTAACTCTCTATCCCTCTCCCTTCCTCTCTGTAAAAAAATCAATAAAATATATTTTTTTTAAAAACCGATAATGGTTTCCCCTAGAGAGGAAGGCAATAGACGGGTGGTGAAAGGGGATTTTTCGGGGGTTCTTATCCTATTTATTTATGTGTTTACTTTCTTAATCCTCACCCGAGGATATTTTTCCATTGATTTTTAGAGAGTGGAAGGGAGAGGAAAATTCACAGAGAGAGAAACACACATGTGTGAGAAAACACATCCATTGGTTGCCTTCCACAGGGGATGGGGATTGAGCCTGCAACCAAGGTAAGTGCCCTTGTCCGGAATTGAACCCAGGACCCTTCAGTCCACAGGCCAACACCCTATCCACTGAGCCAAACTGGCTAGGGCTATCTTTTATTTTTAAACAAAGACAATATTAGTACTTTAGTTACATAATTTTAAATATTTTAAAAATCCTCACCAAGGATATGTCTTTATTGATTTTTTAAATATTTTTTCTTGATTTCAGAGAGGAAGGAAAAGAGAGAGATAGAAACATCAATGATGACAGAGAATCATTGGTTGGTTGCCTCCTGCTGCCCCCTACTGGGGATCCAGCCAGCAATCCAGACATGTGCCCTGACAAGGATTCGAACCATGACCTCCTGGTTCATAGGTCAACACTCAACCACTGAGCCACACTGGCCAGCTTTATTGATTTTTTAGAGGGAGAGGAAGAGAGAGAAAAAAAACATTGATGTGTGAGAGAAACGTGCACATCCCAACTGGGGATCGAACCCACAATCTTTTGGTGTATGGGACAATGCTTCAACCAACTGAGCCACCTGGCCAGACCTTAATATTTTTTTAAAAAGTTATAGGAGTATACTCAAATCTGATGATCTCCCACCTTGAGAATAAAGTTAAAGAGACTCAGTTCTAGCTTCCCACCTCCCAACCCCACCTATATATTTGGCATCTACATGTGAAATGGTCCATGAAAAGATGGGATGAGTCATTTGGAGAATTGACCCATCCTAAGAGTCTGTAAATGTGTTATTGGGGTGAACAAAAAGATAGCAAAGTCAAGGTAACTATGAGGTTATGTCGTTTCAGGAAGATACGACTGGTGTATAAGAAAGCAGATTCCTGCCCTAGCGGTTTGGCTCAGTCGATAGAGTGTCAGCCTGTGGACTGAAGGGTCCTGGGTTCAATTCTGGGCAAGGGCACATACCCGAGTTGTGGGCTTGGTCTCCGGTGGGGGCGTGCAAGAGGCAGCTGATCAATGATTCTCTCTCCTCATTGATGTTTCTGTCTCTTCCTTTCTGAAAACAGTAAAAATTCAAAAAATAAAGCAGATTCCTAATCAAGAGCATTGCCAGGGCAAAGATTGATTCTGGCACCACCTTTCAGGTTGCTGCAGTTCCCTATGTGGGTTTAGGAATCCCAGGGACCAATCCCAGGGACCAGTCATGGATTTGGGAAGCTGTTTGGTTAACATTGACACATAGGTGCAAAAAGGGGGGAAACCAGAGCAAGAAACAATGTGATCTCTTCCTTCCTAAGGCCTTAATCCGAAAGGCTGTATCAATATAACCAAACATGCAAAATCAGGCTCCAAATAAATGGTATAATCCCATTGACTACAATAACTGGACGCAATTATCACTGCACCTCCATTAAATGGAGAGGCAAATAATGAGATCTGTATGTTTATTTCCAAGGTCTTAAAATTCAAAAATACAGATTTTTATTTATTTATTTTTACCCAGGAATTTAATTTTTTTATAATTATTTATTGTTAGAAGTATTACATATGTTCCCGTTTCCCCCCATTGACCCCCTTCAGCCTGCCCCCCCTCGCCCCTGCCCCAGGCCTTCACCACCCTACTGTCTGCCCGTGGGTTACGCATATACATACAAGGTATGCATAGGAGGTCTTTGGTTGTTTACTTCCCACCCGCCTTCCGCCTTCCCTCAGAGATTCTGCACACTGTTCCATGCTTCCATGTCTCTGGATCCACTCCATTCATCAGTTTGTTTTGTTACTTAGATTCCACATATGAGTGCCATCATGTAATATTTGTCTTTCTTTGACTGGCTTATTTTACTTAGCGTGATACTCTCCAGGTCCCTCCATGATGTCTCAAAGGGTAAGAGATGCATCTTTTTAACTGCTACATAGTATTCCATGGTATAAATGTACCATGGCTTTTTTATCCACTCATTTACTGATGGGCACTTGGGGGGTGTTAAAGTCCCCTACTATGACTGTATTGTTGCGATCTCTTCATTAAAATCCTCTAGAAGTTTTTTTATATATTCAGGTGCTCCTGTATTGGGTACATATATGTTTACCAGGGTTATATCTTATTGTTGGATCAATCCCTTTAGTGTTATGTAGTGACCTTTGTTGTCTCTTGTGATGGCCTTCGTTTTAAAGTCTATTTTGTCAGATATGAGTATTGCGACTCCAGCTTTTTTTTCTTTTCCATTTGCATGAAAAAATTTTTTTTTCCATCCCTTCACTCTCATCCTATGTGTGTCTTTTGTTCTGAGGAGGGTCTATTGTAGAGGGCATATGGTTGGGTCAGGTTTTTGTATCCATTCAGCTACACTATGCCTTTTGATTGGAGCATTTAATCCATTTACATTTAGGGTTATTATTGATAGGTACTTATTTATTGGCATTTTAATTCTGTATGCCTAGGTTTCTCTGCTACTTCTTCTCATTACAGCAGTCCTTTCAGCATTTTTTAAAAATCTATTTTATTGATTTTTTACAGAGAGTGAAAAAATTTTTTTTTCCATCCCTTCACTCTCATCCTATGTGTGTCTTTTGTTCTGAGGAGGGTCTATTGTAGAGGGCATATGGTTGGGTCATGTTTTTGTATCCATTCAGCTACACTATGCCTTTTGATTGGAGCATTTAATCCATTTACATTTAGGGTTATTATTGATAGGTACTTATTTATTGGCATTTTAATTCTGTATGCCTAGGTTTCTCTGCTACTTCTTCTCATTACAGCAGTCCTTTCAGCATTTTTTAAAAATCTATTTTATTGATTTTTTACAGAGAGGAAGGGAGAGAGATAGAGAGTTAGAAACATTGATGAGAGAGAAACATCGATCAGCTGCCTCCTGCACATCTCCCACTGGGGATGTGCCCACAACCCAGGTACATGCCCTTGACCGGAATCGAACCTGGGACCTTTCAGTCCACAGGCCGACACTCTATCCACTGAGCCAAACCGGTTTCGGCCTTTCAGCATTTTTTATAATGCTGGCTTGGTGGTGATATACTCCTTTAGCCTTTTTTTGTCCGGGAAGCTCTTTATTTTACTGTCTATTTTGAATGATACTCTTGCTGGATATAGTAATCTTGGTCTCAGATCCTTGCTTTCCATTACCTTGATTATTTCATGCCATTCCCTTATGGCCTGTAAGTTTCTGATGAGAAATCAGGTGTCAGCCTTATGAGAAAGGGAACTCCTTTGTAGGTAACAGTTTTCTTTTCTCTTGCTGCCTTTAAGATTCTCTCTTTGTCTTTAATTTTTGGCATTTTAATTATGATGTGTCTAGGTATGGGCCCATTTGGGTTCTTCTTGCTTGGGATTCTCTGTGCTTCCTGGATTGTTTGACTTTTTCCTTTACCAGGTTAATAAAGTTTTCTGCCATTATTTTTTCAAAAACGTTCTCTATCCCTTTCTGCCTCTTTTGGCACACCTGCTATTCTAATATTGTTATGTTTCACATTGTCCCACCGCTCCCGTAGCTGTCCTCTTGTTTTTTAATTGTGTTTTTCTTTTTGATTCTGTGATTGAGTGATTTCTTCAACCCTGTCTTCTAATTCACTGATTCAATCCTTAGCTTCCCCTAATCTGCTGTGTAATCCTTCAATGTATTTTTTATTTGTGCTATGTCATTATTTATTTCTGTTTTTATAATTACTATATCTTTTTTCATGATGTTGAACATCTTTACCATCATTACTCTGAACTCTGTTTCAGATAAATTTTGTATCTCTGCTTCATTTATCTCTTCTGAAGAATGTTCTAGTTCTTTCATTTGGGGGTTGTTTCTTTGTCTCCTCATTTTGGCTGCCTGTTTGGGTTTGTGACTATATATTAGGTAGATCCTCTACACCTCTTAATCACTAGTGTAGGACAGTGTCAAATGCTGTTTCTAACTAATTAGATCAGGCAAAGACTCATGCCTTCAGAGACTGCCTCTGCCCACAGACAGATAGGATTCCTCTTGAATTTCCCCCAGGAAATTGTCCTCAGGTGTGGTGAGAATTTTTTTCAGCAGGGTGCAGCAGTTGCTACTGCCTGGAGCAGTGGTTCTCAACCTTGGCTGCACA